CTGTTTTGTCATCGTCATTTGAAGCTACCCAGTGGGATGATGTTCGCATTGGTGATGAAGTGTATCTCCTCAACCGTTTATGTTCTCAAAATATCCATTTAACCGTAGGAGAAAAATCCATTCTACCATTTCTGGATTTCTGTATGTCGTAATAATTAAATCTAGTAATTGCTATATATAGCTTAAATTTATCATAAACTTATAATATTTAAAGCTTAACGCGCAGTTATTGAAGAAATAAACGGTCTGTAGTTACTGCTTTAATAGACAGAGATCTGGAGCTCTGTAGTATTGAATTTTTTTAGGAAAGAAATCAAGCAGTAAATTAACCTTGTGACATCAGTAATTATAAAGTTAAATTCGTTAGGAATATCATAAACTGTTGTATTACTTACTTTCAGTTTACTTGTAATGCCAACTGTGTCTATGCTAATGCTCTAAGTATACTTTTCTTAATTGTACCGCATCATAAAACTGGTGAAAAGTCACAACGATAACATAACATTAAATATAATATTAACGCTATACGTTACACTTTAATAAATTTGATTAGATAAATGAATCTGAGAAAAAAAACTCTCCTGACTGGGTTTACAATGTAACTGCGAAAAATATTACATAGAAGAAATAAAAAATTCCGTCATTCAACGAACAAAGGTCGAGTTGAAGAAGTTGAATGGTCGCAGATAAGCATGAGGGTAATTGGTAGCGAAGCACCCGAAAAAAGTAAATCCTGGCCCTAGTATAGTCAAGAAGCAATGCGAAAAGTTCTCCGGGATTGTGCAGCATACGGCATAGAAAAGACAGGTCTTCTTATGTTTAGAGTGCGCGGGTATCATCAAGGAAAGACACTTGTTGAACAAGCGCTTTGGGTCATGCGTCGTCCAATTGCGGCAACAGTATCTGTGACAGATGATCATAACTCTTCGCTGATTGGATGAGCGTTATCGCCTAGAAACCATTTACCCAGCAGCACGGACCTAAAGCTTGCATTCCCGCTCCACTTGTGCCAGCCATTACAAACAACAGAAGATTTCCGAAATCAGGCAACCGCCTCCTTACATTAAAGAAAGCCGGTAAGGCAAGGTATCTGTCAATCATTCGATTGGCCATATGTTTATGGTTGCGTACAAATTATCCTTGTTTTAGACTATTTTAAACAATTGATCGCCATTTGAAGCAGCAGTAAACGTGGTCTATGATTTGTGTTGTGAACGTCATGGATATGAGTTGTCTGCTTTCTGTTAAATTAACACCGCAAGAAACATCTTTAGAGCGACGTCAGCAATCGAATATTCCTCGTCACAAGAGGTTCAGAATTCGGTTGCTGTTCTGGGTTATCAACCAAACTACAGACGTTTGGCGCCACATTTGACAGTTCGACTGTCAGTTCCTGTTGTCGATAGTTGAATACTCTTATTATGTGACGGATCCACTGGGCTGAATACGGTTTTGTTAATTCTTTTGCCTGTTTGTTTATTTCATATTTAATATAACATATTTAAATGTTTTCTGTGCAAAAAATTAGGATTCCTTGATGATCTTGTTCAAACAACAAAGCTTACTAAGAATCACTCGTAGTGGAAATTGCACGAACGACTGGATGATGCATTGACAATGCAGGGACGACGAACGAACAACAGGATACACGAAATATAGAACATCTAGTGTCTTGCAATTGCTTTTTAAATAACATTCAGACCACCTAAGTAAAGGATATTCGTTTCCCGTGAGCTTGAACACTTCTGGTATGAAATGGAAACATGACATTTGAGAATGACGTAGAATGATTAAATAAAACAGATAAGTTAGGCAAGATTGTTTTTCTGTTTGAACCAGAACAGTAATGAACGTCAAGGTCTGGTATGCCTTGAAGTCAGCTGATTCTAGAAAGGATTCTTGCCAGAAGTCGATCAGCGACCGAAACACAAATAGAACAACGCGACGGGATTGGGTGCAAGTTCATTTACCTGCCAGGCAGAACTTCATCAGCGTGAAGTCTGCTACCACTGGCCGACAACTTTCCTTACAGCATGCCGGAAAATGGCAGTGTTTCTGCCAAGGTCATTCCGTTATTCTACCCTTGAACCGCTGCTTTACTGCCATTAGTTGCAAGGCGTAGATATGTGCTTATAGTTTGGCAACCTCTTCGGCTTAACCTTTTTTGCGTTTGCCTGTGACCAAGCAAATAATCGATGTCTGAAACGGTATGCGGTGAAAATGGCACTTGTTGATGCCATTTTTGTACGCAAAAGTTTATTATGTAATCTCTATCAAACTATCAAATTCATCAAAACGCAGTGATTTAGCTTTGAAACGTGAATCGGTAGGCATACCATGCAAGTCTTATCCTCTGGGTGACCTGCGTCCATGCACATAGTTTTATGGACATTGTTCCTGAACCAATCTGCACACTTACTGTTTACGCATGATATAAATTAAAGGGTATTAATTTTTATACGCTTCAGTTTAAAATTGATGCCTTAATCCCAAGGTAACTTCCTCTGAAAGAACTCTACTCTGTAACACTGGAATTCCAGCGATGATATGGACCTCAAGCACTATGTGCTGTTTCGTCGAATTGTACAGCCAATTTTGTTCTGTTCATAATTTTGTAAGCGACGAAGCTTACTTCTTTCAATCATAACTAGGGCGCTGCATTTGGAGTGCTTGGCAGAGTGACGGATTCCCCAAAAAACGTTGGCACCTTTCCATCGTGTTGATCTAATCAAACCTTTAGTCGACTTGGTTATTCTCGGGTTTCCGCTGTCCATGGAAATGGAAAATGCCGAATCTCAGTACCTGTCTCAAAACTTTCGGCATCTGGGGTAGGGGCATAGTAGCATGACAAAAGCTGCGAAAGATGAACGCAGATATGACGAAGATGCCAACTAGCAACCGAGTCGCTGCGCCATTCGAACAGAGTTGCAACAACGCGGCGCAGGTTCCGAGGGAATCGTTTCGATATTTGGAGTCCACAATCGAAAATAAGAACTGATTTTTACTTTGATGGAAGTGACAGGAAATAACGATGAACAAGCGCAAAAGACTGGCATCACATGAATCATTAACGGGTGTAAATACCCGCGCTCTGGAGTTCTGAATTTGTGCAGGTTAAATGTTTTCCAATCAAGTATCCACTCAACGACAAGTATTGGGGCTTAGATGAAATTCATTGGATGGAAATCTTTCATTGCAAGGGTAGTAATCCAACTGAAGCTGAAACGTGCGCAAATCATGATTTCTTTACTGGCCTATGCCCCCAAATCAAGAGAAGATTCTGCAACTTGCCTGGTTTATCTGAAAAGTGATGTGTACTATGTACTGGATACGATATTCATCGTTCCGAGAACATGCTAAAAAATTATTGAACGCTAGTGGGAAGAATGATTTGTCGGTCTTAACAACGATAACATAAAGGTTTTGTTTTTGTGCAAACAGTAGACTCGAGATCATCAGTGCCTTTCTGTAGCATCGAAACTTGCATCAGCACAGTCAGTATGGGGAAACCCATGCTCTGCTTGATAATCATATCATCTTACTTACAACGTCTTGTAAGAGAATGGCAGAGATATCAACTCATTATTACTACGCTGTTGTCACCACCCGTTACAATTGATAAGGACCATGCGAAAACTGCGCACAAGAAAGAGTTCGGTTCAAATGAAACACATTAGCTTCTGAGGACAGGATGAGGAAATTATAAAACAACATCGCATATCGGTTTGAACATAATTCGCTAATAACTTAGATATCATCTCTAAACTTTTTCTGAGCACTGTGAAACAAAGTTTTTATTGTTAAACATGCTCTAATAAAAGTTCAAGCTTAGAGGCTCTGTAATTGTGTACATAAACGTAATGTTACTGATTAGAAAATGTAACCTATGAATCTGCCTCGTGACTACCACGTGCGTTATCACATTTCGCGGCTGTTTTTATGTGACAGTTTGGTAACAGTAAGTTGCTAGTTTTGACAGACTTCGTATCCGAAGATTCGGAGGTTATTTGTCAGACTTTTGTACGTGTGACAAAGATGCTCGATCCTACGCCTTGCGCAAGCGGGAGTCCGCGAAGTTGCTCTTTCGTTGACTCGAAGCGACAGGTTCACCTCACGTCCGAGCGGAGACGGCGGGAATCGATTCGCGTAAGGGCATGCCGACGACTGTCAGATGTTTACTGTGCTTTCTAGAACGGATATTTAGAGCTGAAAGCATTGGTGCCCGTCAACTCGAATAATATGGGCACGAAGTTGACGAATGCAGTCGTTTTGTCGAATGGTTTGTTATTACGCTTTTATGCGATTGATGGTGTTGCTAATGTTATTTTCGGAGTTCCATTGTCCGTTTTTGCCAGCAAATAAATTTTCTGTAATTCTAATTGCAACATATATTAGTTTTTTGTAGTGCTTATTTTGAAGGGTAAACGGTTTATATGCTTTATTTCATTTAAATGATCTGAAAAAAGAATTTAGTAGTTTCAGAGCTAGGTGATAAATTAGAATATTAATTATCGTTAGTATTTTGATGTATTACGTTTAGCCGTTGAGTACTTACGAGGACTGAGGGAGAAGGTGGCGGTTCAGGGCGAGGAAATAAAGCGCTTGACGACGCAGACGTTGGCGTTGGGGCTCATTTCGCAGTAAGTGTGCCTTCGTCTGTTTAAGGATGTCTGACGTATTCGACATTGTTGATGTTTTCCGTTAGGAATTATGCTCAGCTCAGCGTCGAAGAACACCTGATGTCCGATGAAGCGAGCGTCGACAGGCTATCGTTTGCCAAGTACAATCTTGTAAGCAACGCGCTGTTCGTTTTTTTTTCTGTTGCAACATGGTTCCGGTGCGATGAAAGCGTGCTTTGTATTTTGCTTATTTGCGGATGTTGTTTTTTGTTTAATCGAAATTTTAAAAGAAGGATAGCTATGAAAGTCTAAACTGTTGATAAATTACTTGAGGAACTGCTTCAGACGCTACTTCGCTATATCGAAATAATTATAAGATATAATTGGACATCCTTTCTATAGTTTAACGAAAGAAAATTGAAGTTTACAGTTAAATTAGAAGTACACAATCCAGTACTCCTTAATATTTATGGTATACAAAACTTGCGATACGAAGGAAGTTGAAACGTTTCATTTATAACGTATTGATTTTCCCTGATGCTAATTCAGTCGATACGTCTGATGAGTGTTGTAGAATATTTTTTCTTGTGTTGCTAACCATGGTATCGGAACATGTCATCATGTCCGGCATTTTTGATTACCTTCTGGATGAAAGTCTCCAAGATTTCGCCACAGACATGTTACCTGCTGTTTTCATCCATCTTGATGCCGCGAACTTCAGGTCATACTTCCATCATTATGGAGACCACAGGTTGTTTACTCTCGTTTATAACCTAGTCTAATGTTTCTCTGATCTAGAGATGGTGTTCTTCTTTCAACGTGCTTTGTCCATTGTCACTTTAATTTTTTCCCCTGGGCAATGGCATGACAAGCTATTGTGCTTGATTCTACTCTTATTCGTTCATTCGTTTTCCTGGATTTTCTTGTTATTCCCAATATGCATCCTTCATCCTTTCTTGCTGTGTTCCGTGGTCTGCAGTTTATGAATAGCTTTCAAGTTTAGGGTCCACGTTTAGCATCTATAAGTTAGCACTGGGAACACTCTTCTATCGAACACTCTTCTATCTTCTACGTTTCAGGCACAAGGACAGATTCCTGAATATGAATATTTTCACTCTTCAAGAAGTGCTCCGTGCCATTTTTATATTTCTGTTGATTTTGCATAAACCGTTCTCTGTTACAGACTTGGGCTGTCCTGCGTTAACATAGTTTTGCACTTCTTCAAGCCTTTGTCCGTTGACGTCGCGCGGTCACTTGTTTTTTGAACATGACCTGAATCTTACTCAGTTCATTTTTTGTCCCACTTTCATACCGGCATCATTCAGGTCTTGAAGTCATCTGTCGGGCTTTATCTGGTGCACTTGACAGGATCAGTATATCATTCCGGAAACCGCAGATATCTTAATTAGTTCCCAGTTAAGTTCAGCCCCTGGCATTCCCAACGAAATTTTTCGAAAACCACTACTATGTTTGCTGTGAAGGACTTCACATGCTGATATTGCGTCACCGAATTTAATGTTGTTATCCATTTCGTACTTGTTGGTGCTGTCGTGAAGCTTCCGAATAGCAGCTGCATTCTTGGCGATAAAGTTTATGCATCTTTTATCGACTCCCTGGCTCGTCAAGCAATCCATTACAGAACAACTCTATACAATGGAGTCGAAGATGTTCTCGAAATGGACGAACCTCAAACAGAGAGAAAGATGATTTTCGTTACTTTCTGAATTACTTGCTGTACCACCCGGAGAAGATCCGTTGTACTAAATCCTCGGCTTGCTCCTTTGACTCTAAATCGTCCAGATTTCTTGAAGTCTGTTTATCAGTACCTTCGTGAAGATCTAAATAATTGTTAATAAACTAATCAGCCTGTAGTTTTTCAATTGCTGTCTTCTTTTTTGTGGAGTAGAATCATCAACGCAGTCAAATCAGGAATTTTCACTTCTTTCTTACAGCGTGAATAGAAGCGCACGAACATCTTGGTCAGTGTTTCATTTCCTAATTCCACGAGCACTTGTAATGTTGTCTTTGCCAGGAGCTGTTCATTGCTTCCACTGTCTCACTGCATACCATGCTTTTTTGGCTGTTATCTGGAATTTCGTCAACTTCGCTTGTATCTTAATTTTCTTATTGTCGCTAACGCTGTATGTGTTCATGTGTGTGCAGTTTTCTATTTGAATCTTCTACTCTTTAGAATCTCTCGTATGTCCCTGATGACGTCCCGACTTCTGCTTTGAGTGCTAAAGTTTTTCGTCTCCCAAGCAACATTCTTTTATTTAATTCCTTCATGCGTCGATTGTTTTCAGTTGTTTGTTTACTAGTCTGCAACTGGATGCTCAGATGTTTTCTTTTAAGCGTTTCCTGTTTTGCGCAATGTTCCACATATTTCATCTTTGATCAGAAGAAGTACCCGCTTCGAATTATCACAAAAGTCAGCGCTTCAGCTGACTCAACGATTGTTTGTGTATACATTTCAAGAATATTTAGTTTGTTTTCGTAATTGATTACAGTAACTGATATTACCCATTATTAATCTTATTTTTCTATTAGTTTTTCAAACACTCAAATTGAATTTATGATCTTTAGTTTAGCCTCATTTTTGTTTCATACGCAGCACTGAATTCGTTATGAATTTTGTGGACGAGGTAAAAGGAGTAGTTGCCCAGCCCTCAAATTTTCTTTCGCATTAGTTTATGCATTGTCATCAGTCGTAGCCAGGATCATCGATCTTCATCATCAGGTAGAGTATAACGTGATCAAAGCGCCGTACCTTGTAGTGGACATCAAGTTGCAAGATTTTTTATGACAGCGATATAACATTAGCTCCGCAGTGTATGTTGGAGGAGTACGGGTACTGCAAGTGCCGGTCATTATAGAAGCGTTTGGGAGGCCCGTATTGCAATGGTTACACAATTTCTTGAATAGCCAAGCCGTTTCCTTGCCTCTACGGGCAAAAGGAACGGTTGAAACAGGCGAAGATTCCATCGTATTATAATATCTATAATGCATGGGTGCAAAGCCACATTAGTATGTTGATCGGAACAGTATGCTCGAATACCAACTGAAATACCTTCAGATATTTAGCCAAGGGTACTCATGACATTGTGAATTTAAATATTTATGGAGGATGGTATCGATTTATTCTTTGCATGTCTGAATGAGAGTTAATGAATTTCGGTTCCCGAACCATGGTTAAATCAACAATTCGCAAATGACGACAAATTCTTTTTCTTACCGACGCGTTTCGACACTGTACGCTACGGTA